TCCATAGTGGTTGCACCAGTCTGCACTCCCACCAACAATGGAGAAGGGTTCCTTTCTCCCCACAACCCCGCCAACATTTGATATTGTTTGATTTCTTGATAGCAGCCATTCTTTGTGGGGTAAGGTGGAATCTCAGTGTTGTTTTCATCGCATCTCTCAAATGATCAGTGATGTGGAACATTTTTTCATATATTTACTTGCTGCTTTTACTTCTTCATCTGAGAAATGTCTGTTCATTTCAGATGCCCATTTTTGAATCGGGTCTTTTCTGATTGTTTTGAGTTCTTTATATATCCTTGATAATAGTCCTTTGTCTGAGGAACAGCTGGTAAAAATTTTTTCCCACATTGTAGATTGTCTCTTAGTTCTGCTGATGGTTTCTTTTGAAGTACAGAAGCTTTTTAGTAAGATGAGATCCCAGTTGTTGATTCTATCTGCTAGTTCCTGTGCTACTGAGGATTTGTTCATAAAGTCTTTTCCTATACCAATGTCTTCCAGAGTTCTGCCTAACTTACCTTCCAGCAAGCTTGGTATTTCTGTTTTAATATTTAGATCTTTAATCCATTTGGATTTTAATTTAGTGCATGGCAAAATATGGGGGTCTAATTTTAATCTGTGGCAGGTTGACATCCAGTTTTTCCAACACCATTTATTAAAGAGGCTATCTTTCCTCCACTGAGGATGGTCAGCTCCTGGAAAGGAGATCTTGACATATTTATTACTAGACTCCTAGAAAACTTAAAGAAATGGCATGCTTTTGAATTTTTACAGAAATATTTTCCTACCCTCTGGCAATGTTACCAAGGTATATAAGGTTGTTTCTATTTACTGTTCAGTCATCGCATAGTAGACAGCATGTCAGTCTATGGAATGGAGTGGCAATCAGGATCCCTTTGCCCTATATTATGTCAGTGTGCTGCATAGCTGATAGTCCTGAGTAGGATAGTGGGGTACCAGTAGAAGCAAGCAACTTTAGATAGTATTTGGTAACACATATAGAGAAAAACAAAATTGATCAATAGCTGTGCCAGGGAATATGCTGGTTTGCTTCGGAAATAAACCAATACCAGGTATGGAATCAGCATTCCCTCAAATCTGTGTTGTACAAGATCAAATAGGCAAAATGATTGGCAGGTGATTAGAATGGTCTTCATTCTGTAAGTGATGATCCTAATCTCTGTAATCTCTATAGGAATGAAGTATCGCTTCCATTTTACTATTTTTATAGGTAGAAATACTAGGGGTTTCTACTTTATCTTTCCTTCCATTGTAATTCTTAATCCATGATTAGGGAACCAGTAGGAATCTGGTGAGTATGTCTGTTCCAAGTCTGTGTTTCAAAACTGGAAAACAAACATGTCATGAATTCTGGTGTAATTGGAATGTGGATTTCCCCCACATCTTCACTAGCATTTTTTTTGTGTGTCCTTGATAATAGCCATTCTTACCAGAGTAAGAATTGTTTTGATTTGCATTTCCTTTATGGGTGAAAACGCTGAGCATTTTTTCATGTACTTACTTTTTTAACGATTATTCATTTCCTTTGCTCTCTCTCTCTCTCTCCTGTTTTTTGTTTTTTTTGATTGGGTCATTTGTTTTGTAGGCTCTGTTTGTTTTTTGCATTTTTTATATACTCTAGGTATTAGCCCTCTATCAGAGTCATCTCTGGCAAAATTTTTTTCTCATTCTGTAGGTTATCTCTTCATTGTGTTGATTGTTTCCTTTGCTGTGCAGAGCTTTTTAGTTTAGCATAATTCCATTTATTGATTCTTGGTATTGTATAGGCATAAAGAAGCTACTAAAATTGAAATTTTGAACAGACAGACCACCTATATTCATAAAGGCATATGTGGACAAGAAAAAGGGGAGGAGAGAGATATAAATATAGTAGATAGCCTATGATCTGGATACAATGATGGATCTTGTAGTTTACAAATAATCTGCTCTTCCCCACCATATACCAAGAAATAAAAAAGTGTGGAATTTTGGCAGTTGGCCTTAAAACTTAATGATGGATTCTGAGCAAATTGTTATTTTAAACTTCTGTGTATTTACTTTTTTAGTCGTTTAAGACTTAATTGAAAGAATCTCCCCAGAAATGCAAAGAGGTCTTTGTAATTAAAAAAGTTGCCTCTCTAGTAAAGACTTACAGAAAAAAGAACCCATATCACAAAATGAGCTGGTAAGATAGATTGAGAAAGTCCTTTACACAAAACTTGAGGACTGTAGAAATTTGTAAGAAATTGAGGGTAAGAATACATGGAAGAAGAAACTTTTGGGGGCAAGACAAATATCTTTGTAAGTTTTCTGGAGTAGATTGAACTATATTTTTCTAGCCATCTTCTTTAACATCCTCGTGTTTATTATCTGGTTAACGTGGTGTGTCAGGTTGCTAATATAAGGTCAGGTTTAGAGGGCAGAAATAGAGAAGATAGAATTGACATATCAGAAAAGAAAGAATGAAAACGAGTAGGCTTGGGAGAGAAGAGAAAATATCAGAAGAAAAGAAAGCTTTAACAAAAGAACTTTTGAAAATATGACCAAGCCTTTTTCTTTTAAATGACATTTCCAATGTGATTGATCTGGAAATTTCTGGGAGAAACATAAGAAAAATAAAGGAAAGGAGGGAGAAAAGAAGAGAGGGAAGAGAGGGGAAGAAAGGACGGAACAAGTAAAGGAGCAGCTGGAGATTTGGCTCAGTGGTTCCACTGCTTGCCTCGCAAGTGCAAGGGCTGGAGTTCAATCCCCAGTACCAAAAAAAAAAAAAAAAAAAAAAAAAAGAGTAAAGAAAGGGAAGGGGAAAAGGAAGGAAAGGAAAAGAAGAAATATTTTTAGACCTTAACTGAAAATAACCTAGTATGTATTTATAAAGATGTTAGACATAGAGTGTGTAATTATCATGTGCTAAATGAGAAACTTATTTTCAGGTATTTTGTCAGCCAGCCATGTGCTTATGTGAAAATAGCATAAGAACCTGTATCAAAGAAGTATTTAAAAATTAGCAATTAATAGAATATGATAAACTTTGTATTAATGATAGACCCTGTCACTACTATATATTTAAAAATAAAAGCTATAGCCTCTTTAATAAATAGTGTTGGAAAAACTGGATATCTTGAGAAATGGGAAGAAAGGAGCTAAAGGTGTAGGAAAGGTGGGATGGGTAGGGGAAGGATGAAAAGGGAAAAGAAAAATATGTGAGATAATGAAAAGATGGAAATAAAGTAGTTGTAGATGGGGAGGGGAGGAGGGGGTAAAGGGAGGGCGGCAGGGACAAGGGGAAAAAATGAGAACCAAGACCTGTCGTGTAGAGGTACAAGATCCCAATAATGAATGTAACTGTACTGTATACCTAAAATGTACCAATAAACTCAATTAAAGCTGAAAAAAAAACAAAACAAAACTGGATCTCAACCTGCCAAAGATTAAAACTAGACCCTTATCTTTCACCATGTACTAAATTAAAATCCAAGTGGATTAAAGATCTAAATATTAAAACAGAAACACCAAGCTTGCTGGAAGATAAGTTAGGCAGAACTCTTGAAGACATTGGCATAGGAAAAGGCTTTATGAAAAAATCCTCAGTAGCATGGGAGCTAGCAGAAAGAATCAACAACTGGGATCTCATCTTATTAAAAAGCTTCTGCACTGCAAAAGAAACCATCAGTAGAACTAAGAGAGAACCTACAATGTGGAAAAAAATTTTACCAGCTGTTCCTCAAAGGACTATTCTCTAGAATGTATAAAGAACTCAAAACAACCAGCCCCCCAAATATAAAGACCCGATTCAAAAATGGGCATCTGAAATGAACAGACATTTCTCAGACAAAAAAGTAAAAGCATCAAGTAAATATATGAAAAAAGGTTCTACATCACTGGTCATTCGAGAGATGTAGATGAAAACAACACTGAGATTCCACCTCACCCCACAAAGAATGGCTGCTATCAAGAAATCAAACAACAACAAATGTTGGTGGGGTTGTGGGGAGTAAGGAACCCTTCTCCATTGTCAGTGGGAGTGCAGACTGGTGCAACCACTATGGAAATCAATATGGAAATACCTCAAAGAGCTTGGACTAGAGGTTCCATTTGACCCAGCCATCCCTCTGCTGGGTATCTTTCCAAAAGAACTGAAAGAATCATATCACAGTGATATATGTGCACCCGTGTTTATAGCGGCACAGTTTGTAATAGCTACAACTTGGAAACGGCCCATTTGCCCATCAGTTGGAAACTGGATAAAGAAGATGTGGTTTTTCTATAAAATGGAATACTATTCAGCCATAAAGAATGAGAAATTAGATTCATTCATAGGAAAATGGATACATATTGAGGATATACTACTAAATGAAATAAATAAGTCACACGTGTAAATACCCAATAGTTTCTCTGGTGTGAAAAACTATAATAGTACATAAGATCCTAATGAGATAATTGACCATGTGAAATAGGAAGAAAGGTGCTAAAGGTGTAGGGAAAGTGGGAAGGGTGAGGGAAAACAAATAAGGGAAAAGAAAAAATATGAGAAAAGGAACAAATGGAAATAAAGTGTTTGTAAATGGGGAGAGGAGGAGGGCGTGAAGGGAGGGCACAGACAAAGGGAAAAAATGAGAAACAAGACCTGTCATGTAAAGGTACAAGATCCCAATAATGAATGTAATTGTACTGTATACCTAACGTACCAATAAACTCAATTAAAAAATAATATAAAAAATAAAAATAAAAGCTTATAAGGTTATAACCTTTATTTTGGGGGCAATATTACATTCTGAGATCCTCTTTTGTTTCATATATGACTACTATAAAATTCTGATCATGGTTGACTAAAAGCAAAACAACAGAACAACATTATTTTAGTGCCCACTGGGCTAGTGAAAAATATTTGTAATGAGTAAAAAGAGCAAAACTGATTCTTCCTGATGAAAGGTAAGAAAGTCTGATGTTATTTATGAAGCTCATTTCTCATTTACTTTTCATGTTTTGGGCTTTTTTTCAGGCATAAGAACTCCTATGGAAGATGGAACTCCTTGTCCATTTTCCAGAATCTGTTTCCAAGTCCATCAAAGGAACCTGATACTGCTGTTCTGTTTTGAAATGCTTGAAGAACACCCACATCTCTGCCTGCACCTTCCATCCTCCTGAAATCATGGTCTTCTCACCAGTGTTGACAGCTTCCCATACTGGGGCATCCAACACAACATTTATAATCTATGAAAACTACTACATGAATATTACAGTCCCTCCACCATTCCAGCATCCTCGTATTGGTCCACTACTTAGGTATAGTTTTGAAACCATGGCTCCGACTGGTTTGAGTTTCTTGACAGTGAATAGCACAGCTGTGTCCCCCACACCAGCAGCTTTTCAGAGCCTAAAATTGCCTCTCCAGATCATCCTTTCTTCTATAATGATATTTATTCTATTTGTGTCTTTTCTTGGGAACTTGGTTGTTTGCCTCATGGTTTACCAAAAAGCTGCCATGCGATCTGCAATTAATATCCTCCTTGCCAGCCTGGCTTTTGCAGACATGTTGCTTGCAGTGCTGAACATGCCCTTTGCCCTGGTAACTATTATTACTACCAGATGGATTTTTGGGAAATTCTTCTGTAGGCTATCTGCTATGTTTTTCTGGTTGTTTGTGATAGAGGGAGTTGTCATCCTGCTTATCATTAGCATTGACAGGTTCCTTATTATTGTCCAGAGGCAAGATAAATTAAATCCATATAGGGCTAAGGTTCTGATTGTAGTTTCTTGGGCAACTTCTTTTTGTGTAGCTTTTCCTTTGGCTATAGGAAACCCTGACCTACAGATACCTTCCCGAGCCCCACAGTGTGTGTTTGGGTACACAACAAATCCAGGTTACCAGGCATATGTTATTTTGATTTCTCTCATTTCTTTCTTCATACCGTTCCTGGTGATACTGTACTCATTTATGGGCATACTCAACACCCTTCGGCACAATGCCTTGAGGATCCATAGCTACCCTGAAGGTATATGCCTCAGCCAGGCCAGCAAATTGGGTCTCAAGAGTCTACAGAGACCCTTCCAGATGAGCATTGATATGGGCTTTAAAACACGTGCCTTTACTACCATTTTGATTCTCTTTGCTGTTTTCATTGTTTGCTGGGCCCCGTTCACCACTTATAGCCTTGTGGCAACATTCAGTGAGCACTTTTACTATAAGCACAACTTTTTTGAGATTAGCACCTGGCTACTCTGGCTTTGCTACCTCAAGTCTGCATTGAATCCACTGATCTACTACTGGAGAATTAAGAAATTCCATGACGCCTGCCTGGAAATGATGCCCAAATCCTTCAAGCTTTTGCCACGGCTCCCTGGTCACACAAGGCGACGAATACGCCCCAGTTCTGTTTATGTGTGTGGGGAACATCGGACAGTGGTGTGAATATTAGAACTGTCTGACATTTTAGGTGATGATTGTTCTTTATTGCGTTTAAATTTTTTTATCTGGCTTCTCCACTTAAACTTTATTGGTTTTTAGAGAGAGAGAGAGAGAGAGAGAGAGAGAGAGAGAGTGTGTGTGCGTGTGTGTGCATGTGCGAGTGTGTGCGTGCGCTTCTGTGCTCATTGTAAAGAAAACAAAAATTAGTTGTCGTGTTACCAAGGATACACAATAGGAACATGATCACAAAAGTTACCTCCAGGGTTCAAGTAAAATCCTTGATTTAGAATGTGGAGATGGTTTTGTACGTATGTTTTGCTGACTTGTTTTATTTTTTGTAGCAGGAGTCAGGATTGTGCTTTATTGAGCCTGCAGTTACCTTGAATTGTAGATGTTTTGTATGCTGCTAAGGTATCTTAGTTGAGCTTACCACTTCTTTTTTTTTCTTTTTCTGGAACCACTGCTGCTTTTTTGCCATCAAGTCGGAGCCAAAACCTTTCATACATCTTAGTTAAATATTTACTTTTACGTAAAAAAATAACCCAAGCAGGTTAGTGACATTTTAAAGGTCATTACTATTTACTTTGGTGCACTTTAAGAAGTAATATACACATTAATTCAGTCATATTTTTCTGAATCATTTTTATAAATGACAATGGTTCAGGAAGCATGTGCATTGTCATTTCTAGTAATAGTATTTTTAAACTTTTATATGCATGTATAATTTTAAAAGAGAATGTAAAATATAAAACTGTTTCTAAGCACAACTTTTCCGAGCAATAGGAAAAAATTGAAGAAACAGCACCGTTGCAAATTTCAAGGAGAAGCACGGTGGGGAGAGGGCCGGTGCAGGCTGTAGCAGTTCTCTACTGAAGGGTTCTTGCCAATGTAGTAGGATAAGGACTGGCACTTAGGGACACCTATTGTGTGCCAAGAACTGCACATCCCTTTTCTCTCCAGGCATCTTGTGAGGCAGATACAACGTTTTCATTTTTGGATGAAGAAACGAATCTCAGAGGAACTAGAAATCCTGCCCAGGCTTAGTGGTTAATGGTATCCAAACATTTGTGAAATCCTGAGACTGTGCTATTTCACTGTGCCACATAGACAGCTCAGATGTTTTTCATAGTCAAGAGGGAACTCTGCATATATTTTAATTTTTAAAAACTAAAATAATCTTTTTAAAAATAGCTTCATTTTTTCATTACCAAAAAGATATGAAATCAATACAGAAGATGATTATAGGCCACATGAAATCACTTATAGTCACCTTTTAGGGTGGAACTTAACAATCGAAAGACAGAAATAGGTAGAAATAAAAATAATAAATGTAAAAATAAGAGAAAAAGTGATTTTTTGATTTGTGAAACAAGTGACTGACAATTACTGAGAAATTAAAGATAACTTTCTATAGATCTTGCCCTTCAAGATCTGGAATTTCTAGTTATCCATCTGTGTTCATTCTAAACGTTCTGGACAGAACAGCATTGTGGCCCCAGTGCTTGCCCAAACAGAGCTGGAGTTTGTACTCTGAAGTGCTTCTTTTGCATAGAAGAAAAAGATAAATGTTCTGTGCTTAGAGCTAGTTTTAATATGGCCAGCCTGAGGTTTTGATTTATTTTTCTCTTGTTGACTGTCTGCCTCCCCAAGTGATCCAGGACCTTTGGTCAGCTTCTCTGGTTACCACTGGCACACTTTATAAAATAGCCAGCAGGGATGGGACAGCACACTAAGGCCATAAGGGCTGAAAATGTAGCCTCTGGGCTACATTATGACCTAAATCTGTAATTTATCTATGGATTTGTAGCATTTTTCTGAATTTTAGTGCTTTGTGAGCCACTAGAAGAAATATAAGCATCTGTTTCTTCAGCTGTAAAATTAATGAGTTGGATTTGATAAATCTCATAAGGTCTTGTTAAACTGTAATGTGCTTTCCTCATGAGAGTATAGAAATTTGAAGATCTCAGCTAACTTGAGCTTCGCCTCTTATTCTGCAGTATTACATCTTTACATTTTATTTCATTTTATGTCTCTTAAAATTCAATGCCTGAAGTCTGTGTCGTGTTATCAGGAGTTAGGACACTGGAAAGTTGGTGATATCGACCTGAGAAACCTTACTCTTCAGGCAGTTGCAACTGTTTTGAAATTTATTGTTAGGCTAAAGAGCTCTTTAGGACTCAAGTACATTATTCAGTATGTTGTTTTGGAATCATCTACAGATGATAGTCACCTACCTCTTTAATTTGTAATTTAGATTAATCACAGATAAAATGTTTTTCCATGAGGAACTTGTAGAACATAAACACTGTAGTAGATTCTAGTAGCATGTTGAAGTGTATTTTACTTTCCATTGTCAATATAAACTGGACCTCAAGCAGATATTAGAAAAGATATTTGAGATTGGACTTTCTCAAGAAAGTCGGCATGATCTGTATCCATCTTGCATATTGGTAGATCTTGAGACTCCTTTTGTGGCTCAAGTTGAAACTGAGCTTTATTTGCTATATTCTTATTTCATGAGGAGTTTTAAGTACTTTTATGCTGCTGAGTAGATAGTACCTCATTTGTTGAGAGCTCCAGAGTGGCTGCTTAGATGCTCACTGTTTGTCAGTGAAGACCATGAAGGGCCTTTTTGAGAAGTTAGTAACAACACTGAACAGAGGTTTTCTTTACACTGGATAATCTTGATCAGATGACAGTTTACACGTAATTTTGAACATTTTTATTGTGTATGATTTTGTAAGCTTTAAAAAAAACTGTGGTGCACCTAAAACAGGCACAAAACTGCATGTTGCTTATTTCCCCATGTTTTCTTAAGGGGGAGAAATACCACTACTAAGTATCACAGCTGACTGACATAATCAGAAATGATGCTTTTTTTTTCCTTAATGATACTTCTTTGTTTTTCCTTCTGGCCACTAAATAAGTAGTATAAACGACATAATGAAGTAGCTGTGGTCAAAAGAGAGAGTGAAGAGAAATCCCAAATAATCTGTAGTAGTAGCATTTAAAGTTTAAGTGTTTATATATTCCTTTGGGGTTCTAAACAGTACAGATGATTCCTTGGCTCACAAAGGGTCTATGGTTGGGCTCAGAAATGTACATTGCTATTAAGCAGTTTACCTGATTCTGGTTCTTGGGCACATTTCCTAAACCACCTCTAGAAAATATACCAAATTAAGCAATGTCTGTTTTATCTCATATTTGTTTTGTGTTGGAAGTCATTATCTCCTAGTGCCTGGATAATCCACATTGGGAGGGAAATCTACACATTATGTCTAGTTGGCTGCTATGTGTGTTAGTGTGGCTCTTGCCAGTGTTAGCTTTACTTTCTTTTAACTGGCAAAAATTCTGATAAACCCATAATTTCACAGTAAAGCAAAAAGCGTGGCATAACTAATTAGTCATGACTTTCAGAAGTCTAATTACTCTCATATTTACTTTCTCCTAGAGACATCTCTCTAGGGCATCTCTCGATTATATATGATTTCCTGGAGAATGAGGGAAATGTAAAGAATTTTCTAATTCCTATTGCTCTGCTTATACCAATTGTATTCAATGGAAGCATGAAATAACCTTTTTAATCTATGTATTTCTGTTGCCAACAAAAATGTAATTTTTTAATCTTTGCTTTTGTTTACATGAAAATATGTATATATCACAAAAGTTTTCACTTGCTTGACATTTTAATGTGTGTCATGATTTTTAGTTTAAGTTTAAATAACTGCTAGATTCAAATTCACTTTCATAACCATAGCCCTGCTAGGCTGAAAACCCAGTTTTTATAATAATAAATAAAAATATTAAAGCACATGTTTGTTATTGCAAGTAAGTGGTAATAAATTCTTAAGTATCTATTGATACTAGTCCTTTATAATTAAAATTAATTTATTTTGCAGTAGTACTTGGCACATATTTTTAAAAGTTTGAGTTTTCGGTTATAATCTTTAAATCTCAAAGTGTGGCTATTTGTGCATATTCTCATTACAACCAAGAAGAGACCTCTCAATAAGAAAATGAATAAATGTTTAACATTTCTACAGTGAAGTTTTTTAATGACTTCATCTCATCTTGAAAGTTTGTAATCAATACTACTTTCTGTTAAATTAAAATTTGAATTTAGTTTCAAATCTTGATTTTTTGGGGGTCCTTATTTTCAAATTACCTCTCAAAGCCTATGTTCATGTAACTATTAGCTATAATCTCATTTTATAATTTCTCGGGATGAACTAAAACTTGACAATAAACTATCAGTATAAAGAAATAGTTTTAAGAAGTTCTGTCTGGGAGAATTATGGAATTTTGTTTTTGACTCCTTTAGACTGGCAGGTAAAGTGAGAATGTTTATATTTTGATGAAATGATTTCACACTAAAATTTTATTTCTTAAATCTAAGGCCTTTCTAGAATTCATTTAAAAATCCATAAGAAACATAATTTATTTGTATATAAGTCTAATTGTACCAATTGGACACAAATTAGGGTTTTCTTTTTCATGTGCAACAACTAAATACATTTCTACTTTTTAAATTATAAGTGCAGATTGATTTACAAAAGTAGATTGTCACTAGATCTACATTCATTGTTCTCTTTTGAAATGAAAGTAAAGATGTGGCAAAGTAGAACAACATACTGGATTAAAAACATGCAATACTATACTTGTATCTACTATGAAAATGACTCCCTCCACCCATTTCATCCATAATAGAACCCATTTGGAGCAATGTCTGCTTTAATAAGGTGCAGGCAATTAAATTTAATTGAAAATGAAAAAATTAAAAATTTTATCAGGAAAAAAAATAGCTAGTAGTAAAGAGCTGGCCAGACAAGCCTGAAATCTGAAGGGCAGGACCACAGGAAAGAGGGAAGGTGACCAAAAGCTGCTGTCACTGATGGAATTGCTTTCCTTCAGACAAAGCCTTATCTCTGCTTTTTAAATTCTTTTCAAGTGATAGAATCTGTCTCTCCCAGGTTATCTAGGCTAATTTCCCAAAGTTGATGTGGAATGATTATAGACTTTATAATTGTGTCTACAAAATTCCTTCACAACAACACTTAGGTAGTTTTTGATGGGATATTGTGGCCTAGTGAAATTGGCTCATATCAAGAGTATTGTAGTAACTAATATCCAAATTGAAAATATAAA